TTTTATGGAACGGTAAGAAAGACAAGGTAGCTAGAAACGTGGTAATTCGGAAACCGATTGAGGGCGGGTTAAATATGTGTGATTTTGAAAGTCACTGTAGCTCTCTCAAAGCCACTTGGGTAAATAAAATCTTAAAAGGCTCCGCTACATGGGCACAGGTTAAAAATTTAATTAATTAATTCACATAATAATGCGGAAAATGGCTACATGTACACTCGGCAGGTGGAAAACGGCGCCGCGAGCACCCCTACTAGGGATGGATACGTGCGCCTAACAAAATGACATTATTATTATTATTATTATTAGGTTGCTACTACTTTTTAACATTAAGTTAGGACCAGATAATATGATTTTAAAAACGAATTTAGACAAGATTAAAAATATTCCAAACTTAAATTTAAATCAGATCCCATTATTTTATCGCCAGGTTATTTTAGCATGGTATTCATCATATCAGGTATATGCACCTATCAGTGGAAGATAAAAAGTGAAGTTATATGGGGAAATCATGTATTGATAAACGGCAAATATAATTCTTTCCCTTATCTAAAACACTGGATTAATTCAGGAATAGTACATATCAATGATCTTTTAAATAAAGACGCTAATTATGCCAATATTATATTAAAAACAAACTTAAATCCTCGGCAAATTGGTTAGTTGAATTAAAAACAATAATTGAAGCTATTCCGGTTTCATGGACAGAAAAAATACGTAAAAATCCAGGAAAACGAGATTGTATACGTAAAAGAAATAAACAAAATATACAGGTGCTTAAAACAAAAGATTTTTTATCATCAACTACAGTAATATAAAAAAAAAAATCTGTAAAGACACACGTTGAAAATAAGTGGGAAAATAAATTAAATATCAAGATAAATTGGCATAAAGTATGGCTTTTAAAACTTATTAAAATTAAAAAAGATTACTAATGAATTTTAGTTAAAACATTTATTTTTAATCTTATACCATGTCGAAAAAACTTATTTAAATGGAAACTTATTGATTTGCCTCTGTGAAAAGATGCAAAATTGAAGACGATTACAAACATATGTTTATTTCATGTAAAGAGATCAAAGATTTTTGGAATCAATTTAATTTATTCTTACATAAACTGGACCTCCCAAATGTCGTTATTACTTTACGTTCACTTATTGTAGTTGACCATTTAAAAGGTCATGATTACTTTTTAATTAATTATATGTTAGTTCTTGCCTCATTCACAATTTTTTTTTTTTTTTGATAGATTTAAGTTATAGTAAAATGGAAAGAAAGGTAAAAAGGAAAAAGAGAAAAAGGTGAGAAGAAAGGAAGGAAAAAGAAAAAGGAGGAAACCTGAAAATGTTTCGCTTGGTTGGCGGTAGTAAAATAATTTCAAGATATGTATATGCCTATATCATTGTTGAATAAAAGTGGGTGAAATCCCATTAAAAAAAATTAAACTTACATCAAAATTAGGAAAGAAAAACGCGACATGAAAAAGGGACCAACATTTAAAGAACAGTTAAAGTAAAAAAAAAGTTTAGATTTTTTTTCAATAAGACATTTAGCGCTTACAGACTTAATTTATTATATATATTTATTTTGGAAGCTAACGTACGGAATAAGCAATTAAAGTTTATTCTTAATTTTACCAGCTCTACAGTAAAACAGTAGGCATAAATATTTAACGTCACTTATTATAAACTACTCCTCGACCATATACTTTTTCGATCCTAAAACTGATCATAGCATTATATCACTATAACATAAGGTGTTTAGTTGTAAACGCCTAATTATTTACACAATCCAATCCAACCTTTGACACAGCATTCCTATAAGAGTAAGATTTGATACTTCAGCTTAGATCTGCCACATATACACTAGAATTTATCCAGCATCTACAATTCCTAGCTATTAACCTATTTGTGGGTATTGGCACTGAGCCGGGTACACATTCGTCGGCCGACGCGATTCAACGCTGAACACAATGGGAGGAGGCTCGCCCAACACTGTGTCGTCGACAATCAGCAAACGGTATCGCGTCGTCAAGCACTTACATATTCGTCAGTCGACGGTCGTACGACGGTTCGGTGTGCCTGCATAACGTGTAGGCATATGTGTTGCGTTCATATAATGTTGTTTCCATACGTTATAGGCTATAAAATCACAGAATAGTAAAATCGACATCCTTACTCAACACGAATATAGTTTACATTTTTCTAAACATGAAAAGTATTAGACTAGAGTAATGTTACAAGGTGGAGTCAGTAGAAACCGATTTAAATTGTTGGAAAAAAGTGGTAAAATGAAATACAATTATTAGTACTCAAGACGTATGTGCTTGTGTCATCCTTAGTCTACTGTCAGTGGTAATATGTACAAATCCTAAATCATCAATCGAATTTTGAAGGCCCAATTTTAAATGGTGAAATAATTAAAGGTAGGCCTAATTTAATTTAACGGTCCTCGACAAACAGGACAGTGTGCACTTGATTTCTTTAATTCCTTATAACACCTTTTACAACAAGCGTGAAAACAATTTGAGATGATCTTTTTACCATGGTGATAGGGTTCTAAGCAAACAGGACACTTTTCAATACCAGTGGTACCGGGACCAGTACTTGGTAATCGAGGCCTAGCACCACTACCATTGTAACTCTTGACATCTCTTTGCAAAAATTCTGGTCCAGACAAGGCAGTGATCATCGCTGGATTTGGTGTGCTGAACGACCCATTCGTTGGCCTTGAGTATCTGTGTGAATGTCTATCCACTTGAAGTTCATTCGCAATTAGACGGATGACAGTTTCGTCCAAATCTACAATTCGGATCTCTTGCATGGGCAAGGTTGGTTGCTCTAGAAATTCCAACAGCGCATTAGTGAATGACTTAGCGTAGATCTGACGTGGTATACCACATGTCGCTGTTGAAAGAAATGTTTAGAAAAATGTTTACCTGTATTCAGGCATTGATTTATGTGATTTAATTAACGCCTCACAGTATTTAATAGGGGTTAAAGCATGCATTGCGCTTGGTGGTGTTAGGGTGTCGTAAATGAATTGTGTAAGACACTCAACGAGTGTTTGACGAAAAGTGGTTGAATATTTAAAAAAAATATGGAAACTGTATCTCTTTAACCGTTTCCGAATTTTCAGTGTCTTACAAAATTCATTTATACAACATACCATTTTTTTAACTACAGTATATCCTATATATTCACAAGTGACAATTTCATTTGGTGACGTCATGTCGCACATATGGTGTGTTCTGACGGCACATGTGTCTAAAGCTTTGTCTACACTATCAAATGTCATCAAAAAAGCGTCACATAAAATGTAATGGAACATAGAGTTGAACATGTTGAACCTTTTTGACGTGATATGACGTCATCGTACCCATATATGTGCACATCACATTTTTTGTCACATATAATTTGATAGTGTAGACAAAGCCTAAGAGGCTGCATTAACACAAACACTAAAGCATTTAGCCCTGTCGACACTATAACAATTTAGATTTAAAAAAACCTGTGACATTCCGAAATATGGTCATGATGACATCACATGACCACCATGTATTCATATCAATATGACTATATATGGGCATACAACAGTTTCTCGTCAAAGAAAATTTGATAGTGTGGACAGAGCTTTAGACACAGACGCAAACACAAGCAACAATACTAGACGTAGTATTGTTGCTTTTGTTTGCGTCAACTCAATTACTCTAGTGTGAACTTAAACAATACTACACGCTGCATCCCATTCATATGTTGCACTTCGAATCATTGGCATGTCAACTCACCTATTCCAATTAGCGGTAGAGCAATTATATGTGCACCAAGTTTATCACGAGCAGCAGTAAATACTTTCATGAACATCTCTGATAACAGCAGTTCTTCTGTGCCACTACGGTATCCATTCCAGCGAGGAACCACTGCATTGATTAAGTGTGAACATGCAATACCATCATCAATGTCAACCCAGACGACGTCACCAACAGCGACGGGCCCATGCTTCTCTATCCATTTGTCACATTGTGATTGGACTCTAGGGCCACATAATTGGCTGATACGTGCGGCAAGACCGCTATCACATTGAAGTTTTCTATTCGCGCAGCAGACTATAACAGTAGCGAATTCATCAAGAATGTCACTTTTCCGCCCAATCACTTTCACGTCATGAATTTTAGTTTCAAAGACCTCAGCTCTTTCTGAGGTCTCATCATGATGATCTCGAGGAGCCTGCCAACTATTAGGCCGTATTTTTGGTTTTACTGATGCACCTACCATTTGTCGAGGATTGTCACCAATCTGACTTTGTGATAATGATTGCTTCTCTGGTGTTGTACTATAGATTGAACCATCGACTGAATCAAGTGACTGGTTTTCAAATCGTTTGGTTCCTTTCGCAGCGCCTCTCGTATTATCTTGTTGCCGTGAAGTTCGTTTCTTAGGTTTATTATACATACTTTTAGAGGGTGTTATAGACGACGACGGGTTCTCTTGACCAATTCTAGGGACCTGATCTTTACTCAAATAACTGCTAGTTTTTACTACTTGTTCCGCAATGTTCCTTTTGCTGCCTTCACTTTTTAAATGTTGACCCGAGCAATGTGTGTTTGTTGATGGCGCGATGCCAATTGGACAACCAAGCATCTGTCTCAGTTTGGTCTTAGCAGCATCAATAGCCGAACGTTTTCCATACATCAAAAATGTCTTTCCGTTACCCTTAGTTACCAATAATGAGGTTGAGTTTTTAAACTCTTTCAATGCTGCAGAATAATTTTTGGAATCCGCTTCATCGGATGTCAGTGTAAATTCGTCTGTCTCTGCTTCTGACTCGATGTCCTTTATCAGGTCCTTGATTTCCTTGACAGCATTATGAATGCATTGCACATTTGCAGATGCAACAGCTGACTTTACCGAAACTGTGGTTCCATTCTTTTGCTCAAGAGTGACTTTATGTTTGTTTTGAATACGATTCAAGTCATTGAAATGGACTGTCTGAATATAGTTGAAAACTTCTTTTGTACCGTGTATACTGATTGCCTCATTGGAAATAGCCATTTGTTTAGGAACTTGTTGCTGGGATTTCGGTATACTATTCCTGGAAGAACTAGGCCTAATATAGTTACTGCTGCTTGATGGTGGTTTAAGTGACCGATTCTCTTTTTCAGATCTCGGAAGCTGATCCTTACTATTTTTCACTACTCGTTCCGCAGTTGTCATCTTTTTGCCTCCGCTTTGTAAAGTGTGACCCTGATAATGCACGTTAGTTGATGATTTGGTAGTACTACCAAGCATATCTTTTAGTTTTTTCTTAGCAGCATCGATAACCGGGCGTGTTCCAAACATGGAAAATCTCCTCCCGTTATTTTTAACCAATAATGACGTAGAGTTCAATAGATCTCGTACTGCAGCAGCATAGTTCTTTGAGTCAGCTTCATCTGGTGTCAGTGTAACTTCATCTTTCTCAGCTTTTGACATGACGACCTTCATCAGGTCCTTCAGTTCTTTGACAGCTTGCGGAATATTACATTGCGGGTTAGCAGCAGATTGAACCAGAACCGTGGTTCGATTCTTTATATCAAAAGTAACTTTGTGTTCTTTTTGTATGCGATTCAAGTCATCAAAATGGACTGTCTGAATATAGCTCAATACGTCCTCCGTGCACGGTATACTGATTGGCTGGTTTGAATCGATTCTTTGAGACCCATTCTCAGGCCCAGTCCGTGTAGGTAATACATCTTCGACGGAATCGGTATAATCCATCGAGTATTCTTGTGAATCGTCTTCGTCGGAATCGGTATAATCCATCGAGTATTCTTGTGAATCTGCTTCTTCGGGTAAATCTGTACTATTGAACTCAGACCCAGAGCTGGAAAGTTGTTTAGAATAGGAAAAACCTCGACTACCACTGCAATGAATTTCTGCATCACTCATATGGTACTGGTTTGGTAACTGGCCTCCTGTGAATCCATTGTACTGTAAAGTTTAAAAGAGCATGAGAATTAGACCTGTACGAGTATTTTGTGTTCGCTATTGAATCTTGATGGTGTTCTACTTTCAGTCTTTAAATAAATAATTTGTTGCTTTTAATAGAAAACAGCCTCATAAACATAATAGTACAAACTAAATTAATGGTATAGCATTATTCATTATCAGGCTAAACAAGTAAATTAGAAACCAATTAGAAACATAAAACATAACACGTATGCAACATACATACCCTTGTAGTAGTGGTCATTGCTCTGGTGGCAAATATTTCTTGTAATACCTGTTGTTTACATTGAGCTGATTCGACAGACACACGGGTGTCAGAAACGAAATGTTGCTTCAGCGAACCCATAATCGATGCCGCCACTAATTATCAATAAAAAAAAGGCAGAAATCCATTAAAATGTAAGGTACAAAAGACGGTGAAGTAACAAGGGGTTTCAAAATTTTTCAGGGGATGCATGCGTACGTTTGTTCGGGGTGGGTGTATATTCCAAATGGCTAATTTGCGCAATATATTATCTTTCTGCTAATCGACACCGTAAAATCATACGCACACATGCATTTGTGGGCCATCAACATGTGTGCTTCTAGGATACGCGCGCACCAATTATTTTGGTGTAAGGAGGTTAGAGGACGTGATATTGTATGGGTTAACTACACTTTAAACAGGATGGCGCCAGGATTTACCCGAAGGGGGGGGGGGATGTCCTCGACGAGAGACAAGTGAAGTGGGCGTCGCTCAAAATCTCTAAAAGTGTTAGGAGGCGAATCCCCGAAACTATGACAACTAGCTCCCCCTCCCCCCACTGGTGCCACCCAAGACTATGAAATCAATAAACGATTAAAATGACTTCAGGAACACTATGGTCGGGGATACCGTACCTGCCTCATCGTCAAACGTCACAACTGCTGTATCATCATCAACCAAATCCACTCTATCTACATCGCCACCGCCATTGCTCCTTCTCGCGAAGTAAAGCTCTAATTTGTCTTCACGGCATCCTTTCATATGCCGTATACCAGTCACAAGCACTGATCTTGAATCTTCCATGCTTCTCAGAATGTCATTTGCGATCATTGTCTTTCTAGTACCGGTAGCCGTCAAAGAAACCTGTAATTATAAACATTGTGAGCATCTAAGTAAGCCCATTCCTGTGTTTGCTTTTGAATCACTCTGTTACTACGCACCAACGTTAATAGTGATGTATTGAACTTTTTAGGAAATCTAATTTTATAAATCAAACTATTTTATTTTTTATTTGATTTTATAAATCAAGCTATAAATTGAAGAAATTATTTAGTTCTTTAAATGTCATGCGGTTGCTTGGTCTAGCTAACTTAGCTGATTCAGACTGTCCAATTGTACAATGGGAACAGTTTTTAAACATTTTTTTTGTCTTCAGAAAACCGGAAATCCGATCGCATTTTTCCTTTGAAGGGAAGAAAAAGAAAAAAATTTCGTGATATTTATTGAAGAAATCTAATCCAAGGATTAACATACTGCAATGCTTTAGACTAAGTATTGCAAACACAACCGATCGAAACCGAAAAACATTTTACTAAAATTGGGGTCACAATTGAGGAATAGGGGTTATGCATCTTTATATTAATCTTGAACCAAGTTACGGGTTCCAGAGACATGTGTACAGTATTAACTTAAACAGTCTGGATGTTAAAAATTATTGCTTTGCTGTTTAAGGGTGAAGATTCACTTATGGAATTTTCAATAAAAACGCACTTTCTTTGTTTAAATCATGCACTGCAATAAGATGACCAGGGGCGGATCCAGAGATGTCCAAAAGGGAGGGCCGAAAGTTGGGCCGATTCGAGACAACACTGTCACGGATGGGGTCCGGGGGCTTTCCCCCGCGAAGTTTTGTGTTCTAGACGTCCGAAAATAACATCTGAGCCGTTCTGGGCTATCATTTTTTCTTTTTCTTTCTTTTTTTCTTTTCCCCCCTTTTTTTTACCTCCTAAAAAATGTGGGGGGGGGGGAGAGGCGGGGCCCCTCTAAATCCGCCTCTGATGACAGCCTTGGTTCCCTTTATATATACAGTCATGTTTATTTTATGGCAATCTATCTGCATTTCTTGGACAATACTCTTATTTCATTTTCTTCTTTAGACAATGCTCTGTTGGTGCTGAAATCTATCATACCTCCATTGCTTCTCATTGCTCGTGCAACCCGATCGACTCGCACCATACGTCAGTTAACTGCTTTTTTTCCTCCTTTACACCTACTGTCTCTCTCTCTCTCTCAATCCTCATATTCGAACATCTCGTATCTCTGGAATTCTCTCCCATCTTTTTGCTTTCTTCCATTTTATAATCTCAGGTCTTTATAATTCTTACCGACAAGCTTCATTTAACCTCTCTTTCCTAATAGTAGTTTCTTTGGAGGGCCTAGCTATAGGGTAGCTATAGGGTCCTTCTTTTGCTGCCCTGTATCTTATAATAAAAAAAAATATTTGTACTAATTTATTCAACTTTAATTTATGCCTCCAAAATAGAGAGTGTAACAGAAAAAAACATCGCAACTCATCAAATACATTATAATCATGCACATTTGAATGAAGAAATAATTGCCAATATAACACTCCACGATGGTTAAAAATACAGTTCAGAAACTTCTCAATAGTATTTTAATGAGATAGAAATCCTGTTTCATAATACTTTTTCATTTTATACTATCGCATATACCACGACCCTTACAATCTATTGACTTTCATTTCTTGTCGAAATCTCTATGGTACTCACTATTCAACATATACTCATATAAATACATATTACCGTATTAATAATGAACCATAAAACAAAAGTTGAAACTTCTTTAAGTACAGTATCCTTATATTTGTAACTTCTATATTAAATTGTATACAATATTACATACCTGTGTATGACTCACTGCTGGGCTGGGAGCCAACATTTCTTGCAATATATGTTGCTTTCTGTTAGATGATTCTACGAACACCTGGGCATCAGCAATAACGTGTTGCTTCGAATCATCCATAAAAGAGGCCGCCACTATCGATTAAAACAATATCCACACAGGTATGTGGAAATAAAATTTAAAATACATGCTGCAACAGTAACTTTTTTGAGCCGAAACTGTCTTAATAACTAAAACATTCGCCAGTATTGCATTGTCTTTCAGAGGAAACGTTTAGAAGTCCATTCAGGTTGTATAGGCCTAATGGTTACCCGTGATGAACAAAATAAAATAACATATTTAATTCAGGATAAGGGATTATGTTCAGGTATACTGTACATACACATCTAAAATGTTTTTTTTTTTCTCTTTTTTTTTTGTATTTGTGAACATGGCCAAATCCTGTGTTTGCTCATGAATCACGTTACCAACGCTGCTTTGAGATGACGTTGGTGTTCTTTCTATAAACTTCTAAACCCATGCTTATGACAATATATGTAGAACCACCAAGCACTATGGTCAAAAATACCGTACCTGCCTCATCGTCAAAGGTTAACACAGCTGTATCTTCGTCAACCAAATCCACTCCATCTACATCACCGCCGCCATTGCTCTTCCTTGCAAAGTAAAGCTCTAACTTGTCTTCGCGACATCCTTTCATATGTCGTATACCAGTTATAAGCACTGTCCTTGAATCATCCATGTACCTCAAAATATCACTTTGGTCCATGGTATATTTCTAGTACAATAGCCACCGTC